AATTGCTTGAAGTGTTACACTACTCGAAGTGTAGTGTGGAGGAAGTCCTTAATGAGTATTTGACGAGTGAAAGGGGCACAGTCGCACTGGGTGCGATGCGAACCTTCAGCTTCGGAACACTGCCATTCGGCCAATCGCGAAGATATGGCGAGTCAACGCAGCTGCAACCTCGCATGACGCGAGGTTGCGCCGATTGGGCTTTCCGAGGGCACAACTAGCGGTTGCGACCCTGAAGCTGAACAATTGTGTGTCCTGAATTATAACTAAGAGAATAGCGCAGTATTCAATAAGGGGAACACGATTATAGAGTGACGATAGAAATGAGGCCTATGCAATATATAGGGCGATTGACCAGGGTTGAGTGTCGAGGGTTGGACCAGTCTAGGGCTCGATAGTCCCGAGGGAGACGGGGTTAAAATGAGTTCGGGGCGACTCGGGATGAGGTTGGGGCCGACGAGGTCGGCGAGGGCTAGTTTGGTGCGTGGCTGGAGGGCCGAGCCTGCGGACGTGAACTGTTCGCGTGTACTCGCTGAGGTGAGCCCCAGTAAGGAATGGTAATTCCTTACACACTCCCTTTATCGAGGTCGAACCGTCATTAAAAGCAATCCCCGATGTGACTGTAAGTCTTTAGCCATGTGACGAGCGTAATGATTATGCTGGCCTGACGAGGTCTTGAGGTCGAACTAAAATCGATGGTCAGAAAGCGTCGAAACGATCACGGTCGATCCTGATCGTCGAATCTTGATGAGCGTAATAATGACAAGACTTCATGAGTTAAAACTTTATCCAACGGCTGAGGCATGTCGCAGCGATCGTAATCGATAGAAGTCGTTGAAGATAATCGACTTCTTCAGCTGACCGAACGGGCAACGGCGAAAACTCCCAAGTGACAAAATGATGAAGATGACCGATGCTGTTGAATAGTTAATTGTCACATAGGCGGGTTATGATAACGCGTTGCAGGATGATAATGATGACTGCCGAACAACAAAGTAGTTGGATGACAAATAGCCGTTCATCACCACACGGGGTCATTTGTGACACATGCGAGGGCACACGTCTGTGTCTCACGAAAATCAGCGAACTCCATCAGCGAATTGACGAGCGCAGGCGCGGAAGCGTAACAGTGATGAATGTCGGTCAAAATTGGATTCTGGAACACGCCGAAGGGTCTTGCGAAATCTGCAGCGCAGCTGCACTTCTTCCCCCTCCAAGAAGAAACAACTCCCAGAAGCTCGGGTAAAACTCCAAGAAACCCAACGCTCCAGGATACATGAGATACTCCCTCTGCTGTGGCAAAAACCCATAACACTGCGTCGAAGATGCCGCTGCAAAAAATCCAACCACTCGAACTACCAAGATATGCTCCCAAGTGAATTCCTCTGCAAGGTACAATAAACCGCTTCGAAGGTCTTGAAATTCCGCAACTACTGCTCCTGAAGACTCCCACACCAACTCAAAAAATATTCAGAAGCAAAACACTGCTTGCGAGTTGGCCCCAACACAACTCCAACAGTACTGCGGCCAAAATTATGTAAATCCGATACTGCTGTTTTCGATTCAGATGGCTAGATGGGGTCGTGTGGACACAATCAGGCAAATTGAGAATGGAGGTGGTAGCGGGTGGTGGCAAGAAGTTGACGACGATGGCAATGGCATGTAACTTGTACTGAACCGCTCCAGTTAAAAACCTCGAACAGAGCCCAGGGTCGAATTACGCCACCTGCATCAACTAATTTGCCCGTACACGCCGAAATATTCGAGAAGAACCGAAACAACTACTGTTCTCCCTCCGATCCACGTACCCAAAATACTCCGCAAAATTCGGTCGATGCTGTTCGTACCCCCGATGATCGCGGGTAGTGCTCCAGCTGTAAAAACCTTGAACCTCTCTAGCGAAAATGTCGGAACTCCATCGATACTTAACCAAGACTGCAACACTGCTTCACAGCTACCCGTAAGAACACTCAGGCGTCACGACGTCCTTTAGCAGCACCCCCACGGTTGCTCCACCAGCTGTACGCATGAACTGAACGCTTTAATTAGGGAACACCGGAGTCCGCCGCCTCGGCATGATGTTTTGGCCGTCGATCAGGGTCAATGCACATCATTCACCGTCGATCTCCGCCCAGCTGTTACCCAACTCTAAAAATTCTCCGGTACCCTTGTCCAGCTGGCCGTGCAGACGTTCACCCATCTCGCGGCTGCTGCAGGTTACCAAAACCGCTTCACTGCTGCTTAACTAACTAAGAGAATCCACAGAGAAAGAAGTGCGCACGCTTCTAGTCAGAGGAGCTTTAACGAGCTCGCCTACTCACCGCTGGACAGCTCCCTCCTCCGTCGGAAACTCGCCAGACTACACCCGCAAAAGTCGGAAACTCTTTCTGTTGCACCAGGTGAAACCCTCAGCTCCGCTGCAACAGTAACTCCTGAAATTTCTGGGACACTCCATCAGCACAGTGTAGTCCATAGGTTCACCCCCCTTATTCAGCTAAGAGCCATCGATTAATAAGTCGACATTGCTACCTGGTGGGGTTGGTGATATTCGGGCGACGTAGCTGAGCGAGTAGCAGATCGAACACCGCTAACCCTTAATTGCTCCAGTACTCCCGTCGTTCTTCCTCCACGGCTTCAGCTCCTGGCAGTTAACGCTTTCGGTAACCGGTGGAAAAAAACTTTATACACACCCAAGGGTGGTGGCCTCCGTTTCCGTTGATCATGGGGGTATAAATCGCTGGTCCACGAAAAACGCCTCCTCACGCGGGAAGTCACCCTCGTTGAGTACACTCACTCCAGCACAGCGTCATCACTTCCAGATGGCCGTCGTGGCGAATAGGTCGTTAATCCCAGCTGCTCCCACACAACTGCACACCCACACGTGCTTCGTGCGATCGTGTCGTTCCGAAATTGTCGGATCCGCCCATTGCCGAAACGGTTCTGAAGTCACGTCCATCGTCTGCAACTAGCCTGCCGGAAACGCCCACCCGCGACACAGCTACAGTTCACCCTGCCGCTGCATGGCATGCCAGACGTACATCGCCGTACGTCCCGCCAATTTCGCTACCCCGCGCGCTCCTGACGACCAACTCCCAACCGCCTGAGGACTCCTGTGCACTTGTCTCCTCATGACGAAGCCTTCGTTTTTTTCGGAAGCCAATCCAAAGACTCCGTCAAGACACCCGAAAAATACGAAAGCTCTAACAAACGTACCCGAAAAACACTGCGAAAACGTTGCCATCTCTTCGACGGAAAATAATTCCGTCTACGACCCGGGAAGGGGAGGACCGGCTAATCCCAGCCGTCCATCGGATAGGATCTGACGGCATCGGAAACGTCCGCGTACTTAATCTCCGCGATGTCCGCTCGCCATCAGTATCCTTCCGCCCCCTTCCTCGATAGGGTCTGCTCCTATACCGGAAACTTAATGGGCAGGAACGTAGCTCTGATACCCGTTGTTATGAATTATAATTTAGAGAATAGCGCTGTATTCAATAAGGGGAACGTGATTACAGAGTGACGATAGAAATGAGGACCAGGGTTGAATATCGAGGGTTGGACCAATCAAGGGCTCGATAGTCCCGAGGGTGACGGGGTCAAAATGGGTTCGGGGCGACTCGAGATGAGGTTGGGGCCGACGAGGTCGGCGGGGGCTGGTTTGGCGCGTGACTGGAGGGCCGAGCCTGCGGACGGGAATCGTTTGCGTGTACTCGCTGAGGCGAGCCCCAGTAAGGAATGATAACTCCTTACATTGCGGATCGCAACTGTAGCAGGGCTAACCAACCCGAGGCACCCGGCAGCGTGGCTCAACCTGCGACGACGAGGGGGAGGACGACACGAGGTCGCCAGCAGCTGCTACGGGGTGGAAGGGAAAGGCAGAGGAGGGGAAGGGGGAAGGGGTGGGGGGCGGATCTTCAACGCGGCGCCATGGCTGCCGCGGCCTGCTGCCCCTCGTTGCTCTGGCGCGTCGACGCCGCCGAGACAGCACGACGACGCCGCCACGGCTTGACGTCGACGTCACGACAGCGCGACGAGGCTGCCATGGCTGCGTGTCGAGACCACCGCAGCAGCACGACGCGGCCGGCTGCATGACGACGCCGCCACAGCAGCATGACGCAGCCGCCATGGCAGCGCGAGAGAGAGAGGAGAGCGAGGCGGAAGCGAGAGAAGAAGGTCCAGCAGGTTGAACCTGCTCTGATAACATGTTGAGATAGCTAGGTTAGGAACTAGGAGCTAGGCATAGGAGCGTAGCGAGAGGTTTTAGGCTAAGAGGAAAAATATCGAGAGAGAAGTGAGGAAGAGATTAGAAAAGGAGATACAAGAAGAGGGGTGTCCCCTCTACAGTAGGATTCAGTAAGTAGCACAACTACCAAGCCTACACAAAGATATATTTAAATATATACTTTGACAAGCACAAGTGTCCACTCAATTGCCCATTCTCCCATGGCAAAGGCTGACAAAAAAAAGGTGCGCGCATTACGCCCACGCGATTTGTCAAAATCGGGGCTACCGAGTGCGCACCCGATGTGTTTATGGCCACCAGGGACTTAGCCGGAATCTCATAGTTTCGGTACCAGGGTAGTTTCAAGACACCCTGAAGGCTCAGGGTGCGGGGCCCCGCAACCCTATTTTCGTCAGGGTAATATATTCGTACCACTTTCTGGATAAGGGTAATAAATTCCGTAAGTCTGATTTTTAAGACCAAATGAAAAAATACCCTGAAAATCAAGGCAATCAGGGCATTTCACCTGGCTAATTTGGGGCATGCTAATTGACTGCCTAACCTAACTTGCGCACGTGGGATTGCGTTTCAGAAAAGCACATGATTTATATCTGTATCTCGAGTGTTGGGTTGAGAAAAGCCCTTAGGATCTTTCCAGAGACTAAGTCCCAGCTGTAGAGACTTGAGACTTTGAGTAGTGCAGCGGAAGTTGAGACGGTTGAACCCTTGTACTAGTATGTGAGAACAAGTGATTGATTAAAGAAACAAGCATACAGCAATATATAGAAGATAAGAAAGCAGTTGTAGAATACAGTTACAGGAACGGTTTATCGAGTCGCACAGCGACTCGATTGCCGCTTCGGTTACCATCCGTGATGTTGTAACGGTCAGTCGCAACCTCCGGTTGCCACCTTTCGAGTCTCTTCGCATTCTTTGTCCGCCCCCTCGTGTAACCTCCGTTGACTTGCGTGCTCCCCTGTAATCTTCCTTGAGTGCAGTGTTACACTTCAGAAACGCTTAAGTCCTTTGAGATATTTCCAACATCGAGCTAGTGATGCTGCAAGGCTGTGGCTGGCGACTTGGAACCAGAGGAACGAGGGCATTCTCCCTCATGGAGTGGCATGAGGACCCTTCTGGCGTGCCTCCACCTCCTGCTGCATCCCCTAGCGTCCGTCCCCCTCCTGCTGATGCGCGGGGAATACATGCACGGTAAGCAACCATCGTCGCCACCCCCTTAGCTGGCAGATACCTTCGCAGCATAACCAACCTTTACCACGAGGGAGCGCCATGTCTGGCCTGGGATGGCATGGGGAATGGGATGGGGAATGGGATGGCATGGGGAATGGGATGACATGGGGGATGGTATGACATGGGGGATGGCATGGGGGGATGGGATGGCATGGGGGATGGCATGACCTGGGAGGATGGCATGGGGGGATGGGATGGCATGGGGGATGGCATGACCTGGGGGGATGGCATTGGGATGGCATGTGGGGATGGGATGGCACGGAAAAATGGGATGGCATGGCGAAACGATGGCATGGGGAATGAGATGGCATGAGCAATGGGATGGCATGTGGGGATGGGATGGCATGGAGAATGGGATGGCATGGGGAATGGGATGGCATGGGGGATGGGATGGCATGGAGAATGGGATGGCATGGCGGATGGGATGGCATGGGGAATAGGATGACATGGAGAATGGGATGGCATGGGGAATGGGATGACATGGGGGGATGGCATTGGGATGGCATGGGGGATGTGATGGCATGGGGGATGGGATAGCATGGGGGGATGGGATGGCATGGGGAATGGGATGACATGGGGAATGGGATGGCATGCAGAAGGGGATGGCATGGGGGATGGGATGGCATGGGGAATGGGATGGCATGCAGAAGGGGATGGCATGGGGGATGGGATGGCATGTGGAATGGGATGGCATGGGGAAAGGGATGACATGGGGGATGGGATGGCATGGGGAATGGGAGGGCATGGGGGATGGGATGGCATGTGGAATGGAATGGCATGGGGAATGGGATGGCATGGTGAATGGGATGGCATGGGGAATGGGATGACATGGGGAATGGGATGGCATGCGAAAGGGGATGGCATGGGGGATGGGATGGCATGGGGAATGGGATGGCATGCGGAAGGGGATGGCATGGGGGATGGGATGGCATGGAGAATGGGATGGCATGGGGGATGGGATGGCATGGGGAATGGGATGGCATGGGGGATGGGATGGCATGGGGAATGGGATGGCATGCGGAAGGGGATGACATGGGGGATGGGATGGCATGTGGAATGGGATGGTATGGGGAAAGGGATGGCATGGGGGATAGGATGGCATGGGGAATGGGAGGGCATGGGGGATGGGATGGCATGTGGAATGGAATGGCATGGGGAATGGGATGGCATGGGGAATGGGATGGCATGGGGAATGGGATGACATGGGGAATGGGATGGCATGCGGAAGGGGATGGCATGGGGGATGGGATGGCATGTGGAATGGGATGGCATGGGGAAAGGGATGGCATGGGGGATGGGATGGCATGGGGAATGGGATGGCATGGGGGATGGGATGGCATGGGGAATGGGATGGCATGGGGAACTGGATTGCACGATGAATGGGATGGCACGTGGAATGGGATGGCATGGGGAATGGGATGGCAAGGAGAATGGGATGGCATGCGGAAGGGGATGGCATGGGGAATGGGATGGCATGCGGAAGGGGATGGCATGTGGGATGGGATGGCATGGGGAATGGGATGGCATGGGGAATAGGATGGCATGGGGAATGGGATGACATGGGGAATGGGATGGCATGCGGAAGGCGATGCCATGGGGGATGGGATGGCATGGGGAATGGGATGGCATGGGGGATGGATGGCATGGGGAATGGGATGGCATGGGGAATGGGATGGCATGGGGAATGGGATGACATGGGGAATGGGATGGCATGCGGAAGGGGATGCCATGGGGGATGGGATGGCATGGGGAATGGGATAGCATGCAGAAGGGGATGGCATGGGGGATGGGATGGCATGTGGAATGGAATGGCATGGGGAATGGGATGACATGGGGAATGGGATGGCATGCGGAAGGGGATGCCATGGGGGATGGGATGGCATGGGGAATGGGATAGCATGCAGAAGGGGATGGCATGGGGGATGGGATGGCATGTGGAATGGAATGGCATGGGGAATGGGATGGCATGGGGAATGGGATGGCATGGGGAATGGGATGGCATGCGGAAGGGGATGGCATGGGGGATGGGATGGCATGGGGAATGGGATGGCATGCAGAAGGGGATGGCATGGGGGGATGGGATGGCATGTGGAATGGAATGGCATTGGGAATGGGATGGCATGGGGAATGGGATGACATGGGGGATGGGATGACATAGGGGATGGGATGGCATGGGGAATGGGATGGCATGGGGAATGGGATGGCATGGGGGATGGGATGGCATGGGGAACGGGATGGCATGGGGAACGGGATGGGCGATGCGTTGGATGGCACGTGGAACGGGATGGCATGGGGAATGGGATGGCAAGGAGAATGGGATGGCATGCGGAAGGGGATGGCATGGGGGATGGGATGGCATGGGGAATGGGATGGCGTGGCGGGAATGGGTGGCATGCGGGATGGGATGGGATGGGGGGATGGGATGGCATGGGGGGTTGGGATGGCATGGGGGGAATGGGATGGGATAGGGGGATGGGATGGCATGGGGGGATGGAACGGCATGGGGGGATGGAACGGCATGGGGGGAATGGGTGGCATGCGGGATGGGATGGGATGGGGGGATGGGATGGCATGGGGGGTTGGGATGGCATGGGGGGAATGGGATGGGATAGGGGGATGGGATGGCATGGGGGGATGGAACGGCATGGGGGGATGGAACGGCATGGGGGGAATGGGTGGCATGCGGGATGGGATGGGATGGGGGGATGGGATGGCATGGAGGGATAAGATGGCATGAGATGAAATTGGGATGGGATGGTAGGTTGGGATTAATGGGTGGGCGGCAAGGGACAGAACCATGAAAAGCACTTTGATTGGAGGCCAAGGACACGTGGGGGAGTAAGGGAGACAAAATGTGGGTGACGTGTTTAGAGGCACGGGGCAGACTGAATTGATGCCTGTTCTGATGGGCATCACAAGCAGGACTCTCCCACTCTATGCACAGCTCATGAGAATCACATGCACAGCTCATGAGCATCCCATGCGCAGCTCATGAGCATCACACGCACAGCTCATGAGCATCACATGCACAGCTCATGAGCATCACATGCACAGCTCATGAGCATCACATGCACAGCTCATGAGCATCCCATGCGCAGCTCATGAGCATCACATGCACAGGGATGGGGGAAAGGGGGAAAGAATGGGGGGGAGAAGGGGGGAGGGGGGTGAATGTCCAGGCAGAGCTCATGAGCATCTGTGGAATGTGAAAGGAGACCCACACTGTGAATGGTTACAGCACGAGCATGTGAGCGTGTGGCAAGGACGTGAACCTTTATGAGGGTGCCTTGACGAAGGTACCTTAACGAGGGTACTACCTCTATACAGGAAACTTTGGGTACCTGAACTTTGACACTTCGGGCCTCCTAAAAGTGGCGGCGTGCAATCAGGGGAATGATGGAAGTTGCCATGAAAGTAAGGAGAAGCCAACAAAAATGAAGGGTCCAAAACAGAAACATTATGCCTTAGCACAGAAGCATTCCCAGAAGCTTCCGTGTGTCCTTGTGCATCAAAACAAGGTACTGCAACAAGGGATAGGCGTGCACACCAGGAGCGGGAATTTCAGACAAGCAGGGAAAATCGATGGCGAGTGACTTTCATCAGCGTAGATGGATGGGCGTCAAGCGAAACCCATGGAGGGAAGATAATAGCAGGGCGGAAGAGGGTCTGCTGGGATAACGGTACTCAGACAGAGGCACCCCCACCCAATTCACGGCCAATGAGACGGTGGGCAGCGCGTGCAAATAAACTCAGGCAGGGTTGAGGCTGCTCCACCAATTACTTCCGTTACTGTTCGTTTCACAGTCTAGCAATCCTCTTATGCACATGCGAGCCCAACCCAGGGAACAATATAGGTACACTGAAAACCATTTAATAGATAATTAAATTTACATTGATATAACCCTACACAACCAAATTCCTTATAGCACCGTGATGAGCAGCACAGACATCCATTGCTTCCATTTCGAGCCTCCATCCCCCACCAAAGACTTACCAACTCTCCCAAACACCCTGCCAGGCAGGGTGCAAAAAGGGGTACAGCCAGCCTTCACCACCCACTTTCCTCCTCCCTGTAACCCATCCGTCTTCACCGGATCATGAGTGTGCTGCTCACGCACGAGTGCTTGCCTATGAGCCACGGCAGGCTTTATTTATGTCCACCGGGGCATCACCTTTGCCTTCTGCACGCCAACAACTCTCTTGGTTGTTGAGATTTCACACGCCACCACCTTCCCACCTCTCTTCGTGTCTGCAGCAGCAGCAGCAGCACCACCAGCAGCACCACCACCAGCAGCACTTGTAAGTTTTGAGCCGTTAACTGCAGCCGCCTTTGATGCTGATGTCGTCACTGCTCCACTCCTCGTAGCACTCTTCTTCACTGCTGCAGCCGTGGTCGTTGTTGACCTCACTGCTGCAGCCTTGGCAGGGGAGGGCAGTTGGGTAGACCTCACAGCTGCACCTCTCACTGGCGATTTCTTTTGTGCTGCTGCAGGCTTCGGGAGACTACCCTTCACAGCTGGAGCTGTAGCAGCGACCTTACCCCTTGCTGTTGGCGTAACAGTCGGCCCAGACCTGGATGGTCCTCTGGCTGACTTCTCTGGTTCCGTCTTGCTTGTAGCAGCTTTCGGGGGAATCTGGTCATCAGCGAATCGTACTCGCCGCTGAGCGCCAGAACCAGCTCCAGTCGCATCAGTCACTGCAGCGGGTGAGCGTGCCTTGGCCTTCAGGCAGGATTTCAGCGCCTTGAATGGAGGCGCGTCAGGAGTGACACGAAGCACACTGCTGCTCTCCCCACTGCTGCCACTGCTATTGGTGCTGAAGCTGCTTGGAGAGTTCAGCAGGCTGAAGCCACTGCTGCTGCTGCTGGCGGATTCATCAGCAAGAGAGCCGTTGAGGACTTGAGGGGTGTTCAAATCCGCAGGGTACGCCTCCTCCTCTGCAATCCAATCCGAGGTCCACTGGAACAACGGGTTCACCGAAGTGAAGGTCCAGCGAGTCAGATCCAGTGGCTCCTCCAGGGGGAATGAAAGCCTTGTAGGCTGCGCAGGAGATCCTCTGACTGAGGAATCAGCCAGGTAGGCTTCGTCCTCAGCAGTGAACTCCGTGATCCACTCGAAAGGCGAGCTCAGCACTTCAACGTCAAAGCTGATCCTGGCAGCAGTCCTTGTAGGCCGTTCAGGAGATCCACTGACAGAGGAATTAGCCAGGTAGGCTTCATCCTCAGCAGTGAATTCCGTGATCCACTCAAACGGAGAGCTGAGCACTTCAACGTCAAAGCTAATCCGCACAGCAGGCCGTGTAGGCTGCGCAGGAAATCCCCTGACTAAGGAGTCAACCAGGTAGGCTTCATCCTCAGCAGTAAATTCCGTGATCCACTCAAAGGGCGAGCTAAGCACTTCAATGTCAAAGCTGATCCTGGCAGCAGGCCTTGTAGGCTGTTCAGGAGATCCACTGACTGAGAAGTCAGCCAGGTAGGCTTCATCCTCAGCAGTGAACTCCGTGATCCACTCAAAGGGCGAGCTGAGCACTTCAATGCCAAAGTCAAAGCTGATCCTGGCAGCAGCAGCAGCAGCAGCAGAGGCCATGCTGATGCTAGTGGGTGTTGCTTGCTAGAGAGCAGAGAGCGATGAGCAAGGTTCAACAGATGTGAGGCAACCGAGTGTGATTCAAGAATGTGAGTGCAACTGAGGTGTGACTGAAGAAGTAGTAATGATGAGATTCGTGTTTGTACCCACCATCGAGAGGCGACCACTGAAGCTGCTAGGCAGAAGGAGCGAGCTTGGCCTGCCACCCATGGGTCAACAAACTTCGGGACCACTCCTCCTGGTACCGAGAGTTCTGGTTGGCTGCGAGATTGCCGGTCGGTTCTCATTGGGTGACGAGATTGTCGGTTTGCTGGCGCTGCGGTTTGTAAGGCGATACTGAATCAGTGGTTGAGAGTCGTTCTCGCCGCTTCTAGAAGCGCATGGCAGCGCGCACACATGGCTGGGGTGGCTGAAATGCGCGGATCTCGAGCCTGCTGCTCGATCTAACGGTAACGAGGAGTTCTCGGTTCTCGCCAGCGTCACGACCATGCCAGCGCGACCGCATGGATGGCGTGAATGAGCTGGCATGGACTGGATATGTGACGTCATCCCAAACACGTAAGCCATGCGTCACATGGGACGAAATCAGCATCCCGTAAAAGCTGCTGTAAATTTTGTCTACATTCGGAACTAAGTCGGTTATGACCAGCATGAAACTTCGACATTCTCTGAACTGAGTTGAGTACGAGGTGCGATCAGGGGATAGAACCATGATTCGCACTACTGTACTTAGATCTGGATGGCTGAGAGAAGTGGGCGGGGGTGGACCCTTGACCGCGAGCCTCCAAGGTTCAGGTTTGGACCCTTGCTTCAAACAGTTTCCTTGCCGTGATTCGCTATTTTCTTCGCGAGGGGCTTAGTTTGGCCATTGAGAACTGAGGGGAAGCAGAGTATATGGGTCGCGAACAGCTGCGAGAATCCGACTTCGTCGTCACAGCATTTGGTTGGCTCGTCCCAACCAAGCACGAGTGGAAGGGTGTGGCAGGTGGGAGAGCAGAGAGGGAACTTCCAGGAGAGGTCACACCATGCCGCAAGTTATTACCACAAGCTATTGACCACACATAATCAAGCGCCGCGTTCCGAGGCCCGACAAGGCTCATCCTGATTTGCCGAGCTGAGATCAACTTACCTTGCCATTAGCACGACACCTTAAAGTCTTACCTAAGCTGGCTTTTACCTTCCGACCTTCGCGCGTTTATCAGCTGCATTGCAATCGACGAAGCAGCTAGATTTGGAATGGGCACGGGTCTGACGCTGTACGACAGCGCGCACTCGCCGTTCGTGCGTCCCGTGCTGATGACGCTGTTCGAGACGGGCGTCGAGGTGAGCGGAACGGATGGAATCGCGATTTTGCTGTCAGATTTTCGCAGTAGCCAGCTTCGCGGCATTCATCGCAGCATCGCGATGTCGTGAATCGTGATTGGTCGCGCGGCAGGGCTTGCAGTTGAGGAATGCGCGCATGTGTCCCCCGGCAGGGTTTCGAGTTGAAGGAGATCCACACGGCCAAGGGCGAGAACAGGACGCCGGAGTACCTCGCCATGAGCGTGAGCGCGGGGGTGGGTGCGTGGGTTTGATGGGGGCAAGGGTTCATGTACTGCTGCTGGCGGCGATGTGCATGGCCCGAAGACGAGCCTCCATTTGCGAACGCTTTGCTCATGATGAGCCGATGCGCTCATGCCGTCATCCCCTCATGCGCTCATGCCGTCATCCCCTCATGCGCTCGTGCCGTCATCCCCGCTTTTGCGCATACTTTCATGCGCTAATGCTCTCATACGCTCATGCGCTCATGCGCTCATGCGCGTGGGATGCTGAATGGTGCGAGCAATGATGGGTGTGAGAGATGCATGGAGGAGTGAGAGGTTTCCTTGATGGCGGGTGTGCAAGCTGTGAGTGAAGGGCGCGAGTGGCGATTATCTCTGGCGTATGGTCTGTGCAACGAGTGGCAGCATGGTGACAGCAGCGCCGCCCGCAACGCATTCAACGCGGACAAGTGCTCACGCGCTGCCCTCGTGCGCTCACGCCCCCATGCGCTCGTGCGCTCCTGCGCTCATGCATTCATGCGCCCATGCACGCTCATGCTCTCATGTGCTCATGCACGGGGGATGTTGAATGGCTCGAACGATGCGATGATGAGCTAGAGGCCGCTCACGTGCTGCCCTCGTGCGCTTACGCGCTGCCCTCGTGCGCTCGCGCCCCCATGCCCTCATGTGCTCATGATGCGCTCCTGCGCTCATGCACTCACGCGCCCACATGCGCTCATGCTCTCATGCGCTCACGCGAGCGATGACGAGTTAGAGGTGGCGGGTGTGCGAGGCGAGAGTGAAGGCGTGGTAGCGGGTGCGAACGCGGATGGCAATCGTGAGGGGCGTCATGGCGAGTTCAACGACTGGCACCATGGCGACAGCAGCGCCGCCCGCAACGCATTCAACGCTGACAAGCCTCACATGCAACATGGCAGGCCGAGTGTGCGAGCCGCGGCTGGTGTGGGGTGTGACGGTGGCGGGTTGCTGATGGTGTGACAGTGACGGATGTGACTGTGGCCGGTGTAACGAGGTACTAGCCCTGTCGTGTTCTTCCCCCTCCTGTCCTATGTACTGCGAGTCAGTTATCTGCCCATTCCCCCGCCCCCTGCTTCTGTCTCCTGCTCGCCCCTCCAGCCCTTCGCCAGGATGCGTGCTCTGCACGACAACGAGCAGTACCTCTATGGTGGATGAACGGTACCTCCAGCCCTCTACGCCACGTGCTAGCATTCAGAGAAGGTGAGCGGGAGGGGAGAAGGTGAGTGAGAGGGAGGGGAGAAGGTGAGAGGGTCGGGAAGAGGGGAGAGAGGATGGGATGGGATAGAGGCTGAGAAAATGGGTCCTACCGGAGCAGGGTAGGAGACTTGATGACACCTACAGACAGGTGGCAGGTTGAGAGGGCAGAGGGGCGAAGGTTGAGAGGAGGGGGGATGGTCAGGGGCATCGGCTGAGGGATCGAGGGCAGCATGCACAAACCTGCACCCTGCCAAGCCTGTCGTTCCTTGCCCTTCCACACTGCCTCTTGAACTCCTCTCCCTTGCTTGCTGCCACCACTTTTCTTTCTGTTTCCACCTGGTGAAACTAGTCAGCGTGCCCTCTAACTCCCAATCGCTTCCTTCTTTTCCTTCGATCTGCGTGCGGCCATGTTTCCCAAGGCTGTTTGACACCTACGAGAAGCATCTGGAGGGCCGGCAGTTACCTGGTGGGGGGATTCGCCGCGGCCGCTGAGCTCATTCCCAGCCGCCCCCATTGTGTCCAAGTGGTGGGCGCGCGTGCCCGCCACCTGGTGCATGGAGGAAAGTGCAGCAGCTAGAGGCGAAGCTCACTTGAGGGTAATTTCAACGTTCCTAGTCGTTACGCTCGCGCCAACTTCCTTGTGCTTTTACGCAATAGTGCCTCGTTTTGGAGCACTCTCCCCATCACGGGCCTTCATGCGACATGCAACAGGGTCGCACATGCGGGCGTGTGAGTCAGTTAACAAGTCCCATGCCCTCCGTGCGTGCTCCTCTCTGTGCTCCAATCTGTGCTCCTCTCTGTGCTCCAAACTGTGCTCCTCTCTGTGCTCCAATCTGTGCTCCTCTCTGTGCTCCAAACTGTGCTCCTCTCGGTGCTCCAATCTGTGCTCCTCTCTGTGCTGCGCAGAGTCGCACCATCATGCCGTGCATATCAGATAGGATAGCAGAGAGGCAGGCTGAGGGTGGGGGCCACCCCGACCTGAGCAGGTGGGCGTGGTGGTGGGGGGGGTGCTTCCCGCAGCAACTCAGGGGGAAGGGCGAGCCGGGCAACGACAGGGCGGATGCTGCCAAGGAGAAGGTGAGCGAGGTAAGGGGATAGAGGGTGAGAGAGGACAGAGGGAGAGAGGATGGGGAGAGGGAGAGCGGATGGGGAGAGGGAGAGAGGATGGGGAGAGGGAGAGAGGATGGGGAGA